AGTTAATTGTGGTTCAATCATGGTTCAACCCTACTGCTACTTTTTATTATATAATGAGGCATAATTTAAACCAGGTACTTTTAATCTAGCCTTTGAAACTTCCAGCAATTCCCTGACAAAAAAAGAACCAAGAACCCTCTTCAAGTTCTTTGTTTGCCTCCAACACTTTTACAAGATCACGTTCTGTATTTTCTGTGGGATAGCGTTCTCTAATTCATCCTAGTTTTTAGCTAGAACCAAGGAATGATATTTCTGTTTTTACATAAACACAATTTGATGTTTGTTCACATAAATTGCAACAATATGATTGACTTGTAAACATCTTGAAGAGTGCTGTAATTTTCCAGTTGGTTTTGCAATACTTCAAAGATATAACCAAGTATAATTATGCTGTTCAAGGATGAATGGGATCCACAGAATGCTAGAAATAACTTATTTCCCTCTACCATTTATAGATATAAAAGGGAGGGTAACACTTAGAAGAAAGTACCGGCACAAAATTTTATTTACTAGACCAAAAACATCCCTGCTTAGTGTCATAGAAAAACTTTGTTGTTGTTGTTAGGTGCCATCGAGTCAGTACCAACCTATAGCAACCTGATGCACAGCAGAAAAAAACACTGCCTGATCCTGGGCCAACCTCACTACTGCTGCCACGCTTGAGTCCATTGATACTGCCACTTGGCCAATCCATCTCATTGGGTTCTTCCTCTTTTTCTCCAACCCTCCACCTTACCAAACATGATATCCTTCTCCAGTGACTGGTACTTCCTGACAAAATGTCCAAAGTATGAGAGACAAAGTTTGTCCATCTTGGCCTCTAAGGAGCACTCTGGCTGCACTTCTTCTAAAACAGATCTATTGGTTCTTCTGGCAGCCCATGGCACTTTCAAAAAACAAAACTAAGAACATTTAAAGTAACAGTGAAGGTTTTGAAGTTAAATGTTTGTCAACTAGTCATAATATACATGCCCTATCCTTCACATAATCTTTTTTTGATACCCAATCCAGCCTGACCCAAGCCATGGTATTTTCAATCTCATATGGATGCGAAAGCTGGACAGTGAATAAGGAAGATCGTAGAAGAATTGATGCCTTTGAGGTGCGGTGTTGGAGGAGAATACTGAAAGTGCCATGGACTGCCAAAAGAACCAATAGATCTGTTTTGGAAGAAGTGCAGCCAGAGTGCTCCTTGGAGGCCAAGATGGCTAAGCTTCTTTGTCTCTCCTACTTTGGACACATTGTCCGGAGAGAACAGTCGCTGGAGAAGGATGTCATGCTGGGTAAGGTGGAGGGTCAGAGAAAAAGAGGAAGACCTCCAACGAGATGGATCAGCCAGGTAACATCATTGATGGCGTCAAGTGTGGCAGCAGTAGTGAGGTTGGCCCAGGATTGGGCATGGTTTCGTTCTGCTGTGCATGGGGTCGCTATGAGTCGGTTCGGACTCGATGGCACCTGACAACAACAACAATCCATGGTCCACCCCAATTTTTCTGCTTTCCTTCACATCTCAAAAATCCTTCCCTATTTCCCTTTAGTCCATGCGCTGTGCTGATTTGTCAAATCCAGACTAGTCCTCCAGTGTCAGCCTGTGTTCTGGTTGGCCTTTAAGGGCTTTGAGATCAGTCTGCTTTTAAGTAAGTAATTGGCAAGACTTTCAGGCTTTCCTGAGACCCATACCACCTTAACCTCTGAAAAACCTCTCATTGAAACACTGTATTCTACCCACTCCCACCTCTGTCTGTAGGATCCTGGTCTAAGCTGTCTTCTCGCACTAGTTCACCCAGTACAGTCCTTGTTTTAAATTTTTATAATTCAGAAACCTTCCAAGACAACTTAAGTCAACTGTGATTCTCTATTATTACCTCTGCTTACACTGAAGGTACTTTATTCATTTAATATGTAATTATTTATTCATTCATAAAACTAAGATTGTAGGAGCGCAGCCCACATATCTACATAAGTTATCCTATCTAGTGTCATTTGTAAGTGGAGAGATCATTAAGATGTACACGGCAAGGACAGTAACTCTTCCTCCTTGGCGCTTCCTGCGAGAATTATAAAATCCTCTACAGGTGAGAGTGTAGGATGAGTATGCGTCTGATCATTCTTCTTCCCACCTTCTAATTGTGGGGTCAGTCTGGACATACTTACCAAGGGCTTTAGGTTCCTACGCTGTAGCATTTGTTAAGCACACACATTAAAGATGGCTAATGTTTCATGTGAATGAGAAAGCACATAATACATCTGAGGAGATCACCACTTTATTTACGTGAGAATAGGAGGACAGGTTCCATATCTGCCTCCTTTGGCAACTCGGACATTACTGTTCCCAAGTCTATAGCTGCAAAGAGAGGTCCTTTCTCATATTTATGTATAAACAGGTACCAATTTTGATTTTATTTCATATTAACATACATGACGCATCAAAATGAGAAATGCACAATTTAACCATTCAACAGCTTGCTTGCCTTACACCAAAAGAACACTATATTCATTATTAAACATTTATACAGTCCTTCCACCTACCTCACTTTACAAATGTCCTACACCATTTTCCAGCATTCTCACAGAAAAGTCTAGTTTTGCTCTTTAAAATCACCATCTGTATCATCCTAGTAGACCCCAGGACTGCCCCTACGAGTGCACGCGTAGGAGGGCAAGCTATCATGCTGCCCAGGGCTCCCACACAGCCCTCCAAGGCTTACCTCCATGGCTGCCCTGCGGCAGGCTAGTCTTAATTCCAAGAATTGATTATTTAACATCAGCGCTCAAGAACTAAAGGCTGTAGTGTCTGACTATATCACAGTGACAGCAGGGAAGGGAACCGAGGCCAAGAGAAACCCCAATGATGAAAGGCAGGCTTCTGCCGATAGATCCTCTCATCAAAATCAAGTCCCCAACTCTCCTGAAACAACATTGGAGCTATTGCTTTCATGTCTTAGAAGTCTGACTGTTGTGCCCAGACTCTGGAAGCAGTGAGCTGTTAGACATTTGGTGTGCTGTATAAATAGCACATCAAAATTACTGTGTGAAGCCTTGAGAATGTCAGCATGTGTACATATAAAAACCAACTCAGACCACTGTACAGAACTCTTTCCCTATGGTCACAATGTTCTCCTGATGTTGTTTACTCTCTGCCGCCTGCCTTCGTTAGTTGTGCGGACCCAGTTAGGTCCGGGAGGCATATCATTCTCATGATCAAATGAGTCAGTTTTGAATCATGTCATCCCATGCTGGTTTTACCAGTCACCACAGGAAACATGAAGTCACATCCTAGTTAAAAGACTGTCCGTGTCTCAAACATGGAAAAACCTGAGATATGAGTCAGCAACTAGCTACACTTACAGTAAAGAACAATGACAAGAGCCACTCCCTCCCACCCCGCCCTCTCCAGCTCCCAAAACAAAGACAGCTGCTGACGGAATTTAAGGCTTCAAAAGAGGACCATACTGTAGTTGAGAAAACTCAAGCCAGGAAATTTGAAAGCAAAGACAAATTATCACTGTACTTGTTCTAATCTCCTATCTCCAGCTGCCTGGACTGATTCCACACAGTGATTGTAGCTCAAGAGCTCAGAGCACCTTAGTCTTGCTCCGTTTTGATACATCCCTTCTACTGAAAGATTCTGAGGGCGATTTTTAGAATATTTTTTCTCTGGCTTTCTGCTCTTACCAGCAACAAAACAAAATGTTAACAGCCTTCTCATTACCATCCCATACAAGCTGCTTTATTCTGAACATTTGTTACTTGTTGAAGCATCTCTCAGCCCCATTAGTAAATCTGATAGAGACCTCATCCTAATCATGGGTCCAGGGGTGGGGTGGGGGAAGCAGGGAGGACCCACAGAGAAAGTAAGTTTCCTGCTTACTTTCCTCATCAATTTTACCTTCCTTCAATCTTCCCATCATTTTCTCCCTTTGGGTAGTTGTCTAGAATCCTGCCTTCTTGTTAACAGAATGCGGTGGCACCCACACAATGAAACAGAAATGGAGTACATCTACTTTGGCTGAGAACTGGAAGGTACTGCTGCTCTGCTACCAACCCAGATGGATTCACGTCTGGCTTGAAACCAAGTGGGTCTTCACTTAAGGGGTTAACAATCCCATTTTAATTCTTTGATTAAAAGAGGAAAGGTAGACTTATCTAGCCCCCAACTTCAGCTTGAGTCATTATGTTGCCAGATTCCTGACTGAAATTGAACCCTAGATGATGTCCCTTCTCTTTCTTCATAAACCTGAGGGGGGGGGGGGAATTGACTACCTGTACCCAGGTCTAACTGGAGATCTGTGCATAAGAAGTTTGAATTGGTCTGACAAGTGTGACTAGCTACCAACCTATTCACAATGCTTAGAAAATGGGCTCCTCGACGTGGCAGTGGTGAAAGCCCCATCTTTACTGTCTGAGGTACTGGGTTTGCTCTAACGTAGATCTTGGCAAGTCCCCTAATGGTCTGTCCAGAGAATGATGCATATGTCACTCAGCTGAGCTGGGATTTGTGGATCAGCTTCTGATATGATCATTTCTTTTGGATTTACCATTAGGATTCTGTCCCTAACAGGGTCTACCCACCCGACCCACAAGCTGGCTCAGTCTCAGCGCTAAGGTGCACTATGGGAGGGACTGAACAAAGACTCATCTTTGAGATCTCTTTGTAGCACAACACAAAAATGGCAGAGGACTTTCTCCTCTAAGGCCTGTAACACTTGCTTTTATAAGAACAAGAGGATCTGCAATTCACTGCATAAAACTGCTCTTCACCCATGTAGGGGATAGCTAGCATCTGCCCTTCCACTTCTGTTGAGAGAATGTTAGCTGATCTCCCAAAATGCAGATGTTGAGTGAGAACTGTGTTGATCCATCTTTTGTTTTTACACCGTAGCTCCATTTTCCAAAAATATATATGTCTCTACATATATATATATTTCAGATTTACAGGGAATATTTTTTGTGAACAAGAAAACAAAAACAGTTAACAGACATCACAAGCATGTCTCTTCTCAGGAGACCTCAATGACCTCCATGCTGCCTGAAAAGCTCGACTGACTGCCCACTTTCCCTAGTTCTTCCCGCGACCTGCTCTCTGACATCAGGCCCTCTCCAAATTCCATCTGGCAGCTCCGGCGTTTAAACTGCTTCTCAAAGGGACTCTCCTCATGCCAGCTCCGCCGAGAGTCAGCTCGGTCACTTGGCTTCTGCCGTCTGCGCACAGAGTAGGCTTGGTCACTGCAAGTGGGCAGCTGGCTACAGCTGTAGGCAGAATAACTGGCATTGCCTCCATAGATGGCAGAGGCAGAGTAAAAGTGAGAGGACTCTGTGGCAAAATACCAGCTGTTGGTCAAGGAAGAAGTAGAGGTCTGGGGAGACAAGATATCTGAGTGCCAACCCTTGAGGCCAAGCCCAGCAGCAGACTTAGCGAGGTGTTGCTGGCTGGTGGAAAGGCCAAAGAGGAAGTTGGTGTGATAGTTGTCCTCCACACTCCCACTCCGATGCAATGGAGCTAAGACAGACCGTTGGGTGGCACCGCTGTTGCTGGTTCTTACTGAATGCAATCGTTTGCTCTGGCTCTCAGAAGCCCTGGTAGTCTGGGGCTTCTTGGGGATGTTGGCTTCCTCCTTATCGGGGCTGGTTTCTGGAGTTTGCTCAGACACTTCCTGAACTGGAGAGAACTGGCATAGTTTGTTGGACCCATCCAAAGCACTGGAAGGTTTGTAGTACTCCAAAGCATCCTCTGACGAGGGGAAACCATGCAAGGATGCTGCCATACTGGCTGAGTACGAAACAGACTTGATATCCAGAGAGAAGGAACGCTTGAGCTTACTGCTGTCTTCCAGCTTGTCTGAGGACAGGTGCAGCCCATTGAGCGCCTGTACCATTGGGCTGTCCTCCAACTGTGCTGGCTGTATGCTGGGCTGACTGGCAGGATGTGCAGGCCTTTGCCCTGCTGCCTCTGAGGTAGCAGAGTGGGCACAGGGTGGACTGAGGGGCATCTCGTTTTTCTGTCCACCCTCTGAGACAGCAGGGACAGGTTCATTTGGCTTCTCTAGGTGCAGCAGCTTGCGTTTGCTCTTTGGCCCTGAGGCTCCAGTCTGGCTCCTAATCTTCTTCTCGTAGTCTAGAAGTTGGCCGAGAAAATTGAAGTTTGGAGATATGGTAGGTCTTTTTTCTTTAACAAATCTATGAAGAGAAGTAAAAAACAAAACCTCAATTGCCAAACTAGACTAGATCTGAAGACTACTGAGAATAGATGAGATCAGGAATTACTAGAAAGAGCCAAGTACCGCTGGAAGAGATTTGAGTTTAAAAATTGAGGGAGAGGGATGCAAGATTGAGATGACAAAGGGCCCTTGCATTGAGATAGCTTTAAAACATGTCCCTGAAAAAAAAACCAAAAAAAAACACAGAAACAAACAAACAAAAAAAACATGTCCCTGCAGCGTGCTGAAGAGAAGGAAGGCCACCTAAGCTCCACTTCTAGCCTCCTCATCTGCCAGAGCATAAAGCTTCCACTGAAATCAAGAAGACTGATTCCACCCTTCCCGAGCCCAGTGTAACCAGCCACTCGCCAACTTCAGTTTTCCAATATTGTGCCTGTTCCGAGTCCTCATAGTCACTTTCTCAAGACATTTAATGTTTGTAATTAGAAAAATTGAGGGTCCCAAATGGTCAAAGTCCTAAAGCAGCCATCTCCGAGTTCCTTCTCTTTGTACTAAGCATGATAGTAACTCACACCTATGTGGTCTTGGTGTGCTAGAATAATGCACAGAATAAAATATCATCTCAACTACCTGCATAACTGCCCATAGGTGGGTGTAATTAGACAGCTAATACGTTTTATTGGCACACACAGGCTCACAAACACTATAAAGTCTCCAGTGGTCCCTAAACCTTATTGATGGAGTCCTGGTGTGGTGCTGTGGGTCAACGCGCTGGACTGCAAAGTTGGTTTGAACCGCAAGGTCAGCATTCAAACTAACCAGCTGCTCCTTGGACACCCTATACAGGGTCACTATAGGTCAGAAGCGATTCGCCGGCACTTCACAACAATACAACAAACCTTACTGATGCTCTTCAAAAGATGATGTAGCAGTGAAACTCCCATTTAAATTTACATTTGAATAAGGGAAGAGAAAAATAAAAAAAATAACTCTGGCAAACTAACAAAGCCAAAAATAACTGGCTCACCTGTACCATGTATGAATTTAAGACTTAGTAACAATCTACCACTCGTCTGTCAGCTTGTCGTACTGTGGTGGCTTGTGAGTTGATGTAATTCTGAAAGCTATGACACCGGTATTTTAAATACCAGCAGGGTCACCCATGGCGGACAGGTTTCAGATAAGCTTCCAGACAAAGACAGACTAAGAAGAAGGAGTGATGAACTACTTCCGAATATTTAGTCACTGAAAACACTGTCAGATATAGTGCCAGAAAATGAGCCCATCAGGTTGGAAGGTACTCAAAATGCGACTGGGGAAGAGCTGCGCCTCCTCAAAGTAGAATTGACCATGATGACGTGAATGGAGTAAAGCACACAGGACCTTCATTTGCTGATGGGCCACAACTCAAAATGAAGACAAACAGCTGAAAACAGCCATTGAAAACTGGAACATGGAATGTATGAAGTATGAATTTGGGAAAATTGGAAGTTGTCAAAAATGAAATGGAACACATAAACATTGATAACTTAAGGCATCAGTGAACTGAAATGGACTGGTATTGGCCATTTTGAATCTGATGACCACATGGTATACTATGCTGGGAATGACAAATTGAAAAGGAATGGTGTTGTATTTATCATCAGAAAGAACATATCCAGATCAGTCATGAGGTACAACACTGTCTGTGATAGAATATCCATGCACCTACAGGGAAGCCCAGTTAATACCACTATTATTCAAATTTATACACCAACCACCAAAACCAGTGAGGATGAAATAGAAGAATCCTATCAACTTCTTCAATCTGAAATTGATGAAACATGAAATCAAGACGTATTGCTCACTACTGGTGATTGGAATGCAAAGGTTGGGAGCAAAGAGGAAAGATCAGTAGTTGGAAAATACGGCCTTGGTGATAGAAATTATGCTGGAGAACGCATGACAGAATTCTGCACAACCAATGATTTGTTCATTTCAAATACCTTCTTTAGACACAGAATAGAGATGACTATACACATGGACCTCACAAGATGGAAAACACTGAAAAGAGACGATGGAAAAGCTCCATATTAGTGAAAACAAGGCCAGGGGCGGAGTGTGGAACAGACCATCAATTAATTATTCATATGCAAATTCAAGCTGAAGCTGAAGAAAATGAAAACAAGTCCACAAGAGCCAAAATATGACCTTGAATATATCCCACCTGAATTTGGAGATCATCTTTAGAACAGATTTGATACATTAAACACTAAAGACCGAAGACCAGAAGAGTTGTGGGATAATAACACATCAAAACATCATACATGAAGAAAGCAAAAAGCCATTGAGAAGAGAAGAAAAGAAGGAAAACTTCGAAATGGATGTCAGAAGAGACATTGAAACTTGCTCTCCAGCATAGAGATGCTAAAGCAAATGGAGGTGGATTGGCCAAGTGGCAGCATCGATGGACTCAAGCGTGGCAACAGTAGTGAGGTTGGCCCAGGATCGGGGAGTGTTTCGTTCTGCTGTGCATAAGGTTGCTATGGGTCGGTACTGACTAGATGGCACCTAACAATATGATATAAGGGGTGGGCTTTCTTTTGGCTTTAGGGATAAGAGCCTTCACGGAGGGCAGGGTAGCTCCTACAGATAAATGGAGGCTCCAACTCCTCCAGGAACCTCTCTCACATGGGAAGCGACTCAGGTAGCTTACTTCTCCTTGCCCAAGTGTCCAACTTGAGAAAAATGCCAAAAGCTCTGGCAGGTCTGCTCCATGTTTTTGACTCATCCTTTAATGACATGGATACTAAGCATATCTGCCCCCCCAGACATGCAGGGAACTCAGATTCACAGTTCATAAAACAAAAACCCTACTCCGAGGGCATTACCATGTGCCTGCCTGCCTTCCAACCAGAGACAGACTGGGCAGCAAGTAAAAATCATGCACTGCCCAGGAAAAAACAAAAACAAAGCAAAAATCCCCACTGCCATCTAGTTAATTCCAAGTCACTACAGACAGAGAACTGCCTAATAGGGTTTCCAAAGCTGTAATCTATATGGAAGCAGATTGCCACATCTTCCTACTGCAGAGAACACATAGGTTCAACTGTCATTGAGTAAATTCCAACTCATAGTGACACTATAGAGTCTCTAAGTCTGAATATTTATAGAAGCAGATACCGTCAGCTTTCTCCCGAGGAGTGGCTGGTGGGTTTAACCCATTGACCTTACACAATGCCACCAGGGCGTCTCCATACACTAACTACAAACACTGGGCAACTCTAGGATGTGGGAAATTGTACTCAATGAATGGAATGTGACAATTACTTGGTTTTACATTTGTATGTATAAAGTAAAAATCTTCAAGCAGAGTAGACTAAATAATGAGCATTTTCTCATCTGTAAATTAAAGCAAATTACAATCCCCTTAATAAGAAAAGGACTAAGAAAAGTAATAGGATAAAGATAGCCATCTGGATTTGTTTCTTCCATAAACTTACAAAAACTAGCTGAGGATGAACTTGATACATGTTAAGGCAAAATTAATGCTAAATGATAAAAATGCATTCTTCTCTAATCTTTGAAAGACCATTTAAATGTCCTCAGTAATTTATAAAGGGTGTGACTACAATGATCTCAATCTGCTGTAATCTGGTTACCAACCTTCATCTCTCTCCATATTTCAGGTCAAATTAAAACCCAACCCATACAAGACATGCTCCTGTGCTCACCTGTAAGCTTCATCCAAGGACATATCCATCCTCTTCATGATGTAAGCGATGGCAATGGTGGCGGAGCGAGAGATCCCAGCCAAACAGTGCACCAGCACACATCCATTGGAGGCTTTTGCTTTCTCTGTAGGAATCAAACCAAGAAGGGTCGTGGTTAATAACTTGTTTAGCAATGAAATCTTGTTTTCAGTTACATACCAGCTTTCATCTGAGAAACTCAAAACATCTCATTTATTTTCATCATATTTATTCTTCCAATACTACTTTTTAGAGAAGGCAAGGAAGACTATTTTCCTACCATTTACCTACAGGACAACACAGGCCCCCAAAGTGTTTACAAGCAAGTTGACCCTGACACCCATTTCAGTATTTTACATCATGTTTTATTTTTAACATTTACTAGTCTGAAATTTCTTCGCAGCTAGAAATCCCTCATTGTGGGACTTAACAGCAAGTAACACTACCTGCTTAGTATGGAAGCTTTCAGAAATACAGAAAAAAAAAAAAATTGAAACCATCCAAAATTCCATCTCCAAGTATAGCTGGTTACGAATTAGGCTGCTAATCAAAAGGTCAACTATTCGAATCTACCAGCCACTCTACTGGGAAAAAGATGAGGCTTTCTGCTCTCATAAAGAGTTGTTTTCAGGTGCCAGCAAGTTGTCCAGTCAGTTCCAACTCATCAACCTTATGCACAACAGAACGAAATACTACCTGGTCCTACATCAACTTCACAATCGTTTTTACGTTTGAGCCCATTGCTGCTGCCCCTGGGCCATTCCATCTCATTAGGGTTCTTCCCCATTTTTGCTGACCCTGCATTATACCAAGCATGATGTCCTTCTCTACAGACTGGAGGGACCAAAGTATGAGAAACAAAGTCTGGCTACCCTGATTTATAAGGAGCATTCTGGCAGTACTTCTTCATACCATAACTCAGGTGCATCAATTCTATGTTCTTCTTCATTCACTGTCCAACTTTCACATGCATATGAGGTTACTGAACATATACCATGGCTTGGGTCTGGCATACCTTAGTCCTCAAACGGGCATCTTTGTTCTTGAACACTTTAAAGAGGTCTTGTGCAGCAGATTTGCCCAATGCAATACAGCATTTGATTTCTTGACTGCTGCTTCCATGAGTGCTGATGGTGGATCCAAGCAAAATGAAGTCTTTGACTTCAGTCTTTTCTCAAGTTATCATGATGTTTGTTATTTTTTGGTCCAGTGGTGAGGATTTTTGTTTTCTTTACATTGAAACGCAGTCCATACTGAAAGCTATGGTCTTTCTTCACCAGCAAGTATTTTAAGTCCTCTTTGC